AGGGAAAAAACAGAACTCTGCCACTTCCACCGCTTAAACCTCTATTTCTTGCACCTCAAAAAATGGCAAAAATCAGGTTTATGGCTGAAAAAAAACCCTTTTTGGCTTGTTCCCGACAGCGATGTGGGCAACGAGGGCAGCTGAGCTGAACGGGATGAGGATTGGGCCCGCACTCCCTCCTTCTCTTTCAACAAACATCAGCCACGAGGATACACGGGACACGATATTTTTCATTAAGTGGATAAGCTCGCCATCATTACTTGAAAATTTACCCGTTTTGAAAGCCAAAAAAAGAAATAACTGGATAGATCCCATTACTGATAAATTTAATAAAGACAAGTGATCTCATGATTGACACTCAGTGGATTCTTTAAAAGGCCAAGCGTGCTGGACACTTGAAACAGCCCCTAAAATACAATTCACAACTTAGCAACACATTTCCTGCACTTACAGTAGAGTGAGTATCTATCTAGCTGTTAATTTGCCTTTTCCATGTCTGTTTTAGAACCACAATTTTGGTTAACCATCGTTTTTTTTTTTAGAAAATGAGCTTGGCTCCTCCTAAATAAAGCCACAGAATTCAGGCAGCCTGGTAAGAAAAATCAGAACAGGAGTTGGTTCATCCTAAAAACGTGTTTGGGGTTTATTTTATGCCAGTTCTCAGTCTGAAAACAAAGATCACGTCCCCAAATACTCTGGACATGGCACACTTTGTGCAGTTAAAGAGCGAGGCACAACCAACACCATCCAATTTGGTGTAAATGCCCCAAAAAAACACCCAAAATGGCTCAGAAACTGGAAGAGGGCATGTTAAGAGGGGTTACAACCCCCAGGTCAGCCAGGGCAACGGGCAGGGTGAAGTGTATGGAAAAGGGAAAAGGAGACAATGAAGGCAGGTCCTTCTTTTTCAAGACAAGTAACTGTCTAAAACAAAACTTGTGGTTGAAACCTCAAAAGTGTAATGAAACACCCAGCACAATTTCTAACAGCACCATCTCTGGGCTGACCCACAGGCAGCTCATGTTTAATCACCCCCAAATGCCAGGCTACGTTCTGACCTACTTTGCATTCAGATGGGCATCAAGTTTTAAGGGAATATAAGAACACCTCAAGTTCTTATCATCAAACATGATTTTACCCCCTCCCAAACTCTGTGCACCTCTGTTTTCCTAGAAATCAACAGTATCCTTGAAGTCCTACAGCAATGAAAATGTGACACCCATCCACACCAGGGCTACAAAAAAACCCTGTCTTTAAAGAAACAGAGAATTTTTTTAGGACAAGACCAAACGCTGCCGTTGGGCAGCAAAGGAGTGAAGCAGCCCAAAATGCTGGCTGCCACAGCTGCACGTAGGAGGAGGTCGTTTCTTGGGTTTGGAAGATGAAACAGAAATGCAGAGGTCTGGTTTGAGAATTGACTTTTAATAGCTCGTTTCTCGTAAGGGCACAGGGGATGTTTTCTGTTTCAGAAATACAGGTATCAGTCCAGGTTTGAACACAGCCTGCTCCTGTCCACAGGACACGTACACCAGTCGTTTGGCTCCAGCTTTTGAGGCATGAAGGAACCTTCAACCTTCTATTTTAATACAATATATAGACAGATTTAAGTACAGTAGCAGTGTAGGCATTTTGCTGTCTCTGCATGTTCCTCCAGGCACTGGACAAAGCCACAGACCCCAGCAGCCCCCGGGTCCTGCTTTCAGCAGCACAACTCAGCTTGCTCCCACTTCCCACCTCCCAACTCCAGAAACAGACCCTTTGGGAGTTCCAGGAGTTGTTTCCAGCTTTGTCCAGTGGCATTCAAACTCTCCTGGTAGCTTTCATCTTACAGTCACTACAGGTGTTGGACACCGACAGGAGAAAGGGAGTTTTAGAACTGGACAAGCTACAGTAATCCAGGTTTTGGTAGAATGACATACAAAAAGGGGAATTTTATATATAATTTTCATTATGGAGTTTAATTTTCCAAAATAAAACCTGTATATATAAGCAGATAACGTTCAAGATCTGTAGATGAATAACAATTCTTTCTAGCTTAAGCAATATATTTAGACAGAGTCTCATTTTCTGTTTTTGAGTATGCCAGTCCAGTCCTTTGGGGAAAAAAGTTCCACTTTTAAATCCTTTAGGATCCATTCTCTGGTAATGACCTTAACTTACAGAGCAGACTATATTATCAGGTGAACTGCAGGGGATTAGATACTGAAGCACTGCTCTGGGTGCAAGAAGCCAAACAGCTGTTTAAACATGATACTATGCTGAAATAAGTCTCTGTCAGAATAAAAACCAACAGTCATGAAAACAGCAGCAGCCACCAAAAACATTCACAACTGCAGGATTATTTGTTTTACTCTGTGTAATTTTGCATTGTAAGTAGGAGAAGCCACAACAGTTTAAAGCAAAATAATTAAAAAAAAGCCACCCCACACTATAGCCTTGTATTTAGTAATGTGAATTGTCATTCTTACAGCTGCTTAGAGAAGTGTGCTAAAAAAACTTTACTTCAACATATGAATTTAAGACTTTCACTTTATTCAGCAAATTGGTTTATTTACACAATGGGGAACGCTGGTTGAATGCTGTCAATGTAATAAAAACAAATCTAACAGAGACAATACTGAACTCTCTCTATGTATTCATAGCAGAAGTGACAAACTATTTCCTTACCTGTATCAGGAACATCAAGAGCAACAATATGACAGTATCATAGGACACTGATTTAACAATAAACCACAGAGGTCCAGTAATACTATGGCAATTTACTCAGGTATTTACTGACTTTAAAAAAAAAAAATAAAATAAAAAAAAAATGAAAAGTCAGCAATACCCAGTATAAAGTTGTCAATTATCAGAGTCAAACCCTGATGAGTACTTCAGTCAAACCTTATCAGATCACCCACACTTGACCTGATCTGCTTCAGACCACTACAGAAACAAAACAGATGAGAAGAGGTTACCTTCCAAAAGGCAAGAATGATCTGATAAGGGTTTAACTGAAGTTTTTGTTTAAAAAAAAAAAATTAAATCATTGCAGAGCACAGCCCCTATTAGAACAAGCTAACTTTCCAGACTTTCAGAAAAGACAAAAAAAAAAAGAAAAAAAACCCCAACACTTCAACATGAAGCTACCATACAAAGTTGTCAGGTTTTTTCCTTTTGTGGTTGTTGGTTTTTGTTGTTGTTTCTTTTTTTTTTTTTCCTTTTAAGAGTTCAGAGTTGCAATTTAATCCTGGCTTTTTAGTGAGAAGGACAGTTTTGGCCTAGACTTTCCTTTGCCCAGGATAATTTTTTGCTCTTCCTTTTGCTGACGTTGTCTCTCTTGTTCTAGTTTCATCCTCTCCTCATGAATCTTTCTTTGTTCTTCAACAATTTTCAATTGTTCTTCAGCCTATATATGAAAATGGTAGAATTTAGGCCAGCATATTTTGTAGTCATAAAAGCAATTTACAAGTCCACATTAGCTTCCAAACAGGTCCAATCCTGCACAGGTATGTAAGCAGCCCTACCTGAGCTAGATGCCATGGTTGGTTTCAGTGAAGCTATTCATAACATGGTTATTTGAATTGAGTTTAGAAGAAACACTGAAAACTTTCTACAGCTCATGTATCAAAATCTTGACTGCTCACATCTAATATTTTTCAGCACTGCTGTGCAAACAGCACATTTCATTGTAATTAAGTCAGTGTATCTAGAGAGAAACTCCCTTGACACCTGCCAAGTGTCAGATGAAGGCCCAATCTAATGAAGTCACAGATCTTCAAACTGAGGTCTCCCCTCTCCAAAACCCACCTACACCCCCTCCCAAACTCAAAACCAACTTTACTGAATTTGGAACCAGTCAATCCTCACACTGACTTATGGTTCTTACAGCTCTTTCCACTGGTCTTTCAAGGGTGCAAGTTCTGTTTGTTATGTCAGTTAATGCTTCAGATTTTCTGTTCTCCCGTTTCCACAATAGGAGGTGGGAAAAGAAGTGTAAATCATAAAGAGATGCAGTTCAAGCAAATAATTTTAAGAAGCACCATCTTTACCTGAAAGAGGAGTAATTACTCGGGTGATTGATAAGAGTTCAATCAGGGTTTAGAGGAAGCTTAGTTTTGCTTATCATGCATTGATTAGAGTCAGCTAAATCATATTGAATCTCCTCATGAGGCAGGCACCTGCAGAAATAGGCCTGGAGACCAAAAGAAGCTGACTTTCATAACTCAGACACCTTAGGCTTGTGCTGAAAGTCCCTTTCAGCACTCGAGCATCCCCATTATACTCCAGTCCAGTCGCTACTTGTCCTGCTCGGCAAAGCAGAATTAGTCACTCCCGTTACAGGAGCTCAACGTGTTTGCAAGCTTCCCTCAGCCTTCCCTGGGAGAGAGCTGAACACATGCTCTTTAAATTCTGGAGGAAGCCAACTTCCTCTCAATTAACTGCACCAGAACTGTTTTTTTTTTCCCAGGCCAGCATTC